TTAACAGACCTCTCTGCATTGAATCATATCTGTTATTAACCTCTGTCTCTCTTCCACAGCATGTCTTTATCCTGTCTTCCTTCTCAACCAATCACAGCAGGTGGCCCCGCCCCTCCCTGAGCCTGGTTCTGTTGGAGGTTTCTTCCTGTTAAAAGGGAGTTTTTCCTTCCCACTGTCGCCAAAGTGCTGCTCATAGGGGGTCATATGATTGTTGGGTTTTTCTCTGTATCTATGAATCGCCTTGAGGCGACTTATGTTGTGATTTGGCGCTATATAAATAAAATTGAATTGAATTGAATTGAATTGAATATCAAATGTTCAGGCTGATACATGTTGACAATTGACATTAGTGATTAGTGAGTGAAAGAGCTAAGGTCCAGGGGATGATGAGCTACTTCCCTATATGTTGCAGCTGGATATATAATAATTAATATGCAAACGAATAAGTAACTAAAGCTTTAAAATAAAGGTAAGACTTTATAATGTGACACTAGTAAGCATTGCTAAGGTAAATGCTTAACCCTTTCATGCATGAGTTGTGACAACCTCAATCAGGATTTTTTTCTTAAGTATTTTTATTCTGGCATGAAAAGATTAATAAAAATACTTAAGAAAAAATCCTGATTGAGGTTGTCATAATTCATGCATGACAGAGTTAAATAACAATAATTACGATGAAATACGTGTATAGGAATTTCTTTTATTTATGTATTTATCACATTATTTTATTGTATAATGCCTTGGTGCCACTGGATTGTAGCATGTCTCACACTCATACAGTAAGACAGACGGTGGGGGTCTAGTAAGGAAGTTTGTTCCTTTCGTTTCTGAACAGCCAAAACGAGTGGAAGGGGTAAGGGAGGGAACTCTTAGTTTATCCTTGCCCATCTGCTCCTACTGTGCCCTGTCTCAGAATCTATCATGCCGCCCTATACTCCTGCACCCTATGCCTCCAAGTTTGGCAATTTATGAGTCAGATTGAAATATGTTGGAGAAGGAGAACTTCCCACTAGAGATTATGTTGCGGAGGAATTGCTTTTTCAGTCCTCTTGGGTGAATCCTCGGACATTTACTCTTTCATCTCTCTCCCAAACAGAAGGGACTTTGAACGGTGTTTTTTCCAGGAAGCTCCTCTTCGATGTTTCATGGAGATTGTTGCTTCAAACTCTGGCCAACCAAAATGGAAAGAGTGGACAGTAGAATCATCTCTTCAAATTGAAATGACCACCCTTGTGGTCAAATTCTGGACAGGAAGAATCCCTGATCATGGCATCGACTTATATTTGAAAAGATATCGTGAGGTGTTACATCCACCTATTAAACCGAGGGACAAATTATGCGTTCGGAAGTTTAAAGTTCGTCTTCGGAGAGATGAAGATGGACATTTCATCCATATCCCCAATTCCATCTCTCTGGGCCCGTACAATGGTCATGTTATCTATCCAAGCGGCTAGATGCTTTATTTGCCAGGCTTCTGATCATCAAGTAAAAGAATGTCCCACGATGGGACATAAAGCTAAAATATGTCAAAATGAAAGTGAATTTGTGGTCAAAAAGGACATACTTTTTTCACATGTCCGAGATCATATAAAACATATAACTTTATTTTTGTATTTCAAGATCACAATAATCTTCCAATTTAGAACTACAAGTTTAAAAAAAACTAACACAAATAAAATACACTTCAGTTAAATACTTATAATTTTTTTCCAAACCACTTGGAGCCGCAGTATGAAGACTAAAGAGCCGCATGCGAATCCAGAGCCGCAGGTTGCCGACCCCAGCCATAGACAAAGCGATTCTGTGAACTAAGGTGTAGGTCTATTAGGTTGGCGGATGGATACTGGAGTGCAAAAGTAAAACCAATGGAAAATGGACAAGAAAAGTTCAAAGCCATCAGGTGCTCAGTT